AGAGCTATAATAAGCGCTAAGTCTTGCATCACTTGCTACTATTTGCAGGAGAGTGATTTAAGGAAAACACAATTAGCGTGAGATTAATCTGAGGAGGATTTGTAAAACAAAACTAGTATTCTGCCTATGGCTTCTCTGTTTTGGCTTTCTTCTGGTCATTTCGAGGGGCTGGGGTTTTTTTATTGGGGGAGTGTGTGTGTGTGTTTCATTTTTTTGAATTTGTGCATGTTTGGCTGAGAAAAGAGGGGAGTAGGCAAAGATTAATAGACAAGAGAGGTAGTAAAAACCTAGAATCTTTAATGTGATAGCCAACCTCTCCATTAGAGACATTGGAGAATATAACGTAACATATGCTGAATTTGAAATCCTTTGGATAAAAACTACCCATCAGGACTGGTAAGAGGAAGTTAAATACTATCACAGAGACTACTGCATATCTGCATCAATTAATAAGCTCATAGGGATTCTTTTTTTAAGGCCCCTGAAATAGTAGTTGTTTAGAACTCCTAGTTAAACTAGGAGACTTTGGATAAGCCTCACACTTTTCTTCTATTATTTGAATGTGAACAAAGGTAGAAAAGCGTCCACAATGACTTGTACTAAATCAGTGCAAATACTGCCTTACCCTGTTGAAAGGAGTGTAACTGTACAGTATGAAAATAATGTTCAAGGAAATGACTACTTAAATGCTGTTCAGTTAAGGAAGGAGGAAGAGCTGCTTTATGTAGCAGCCTAACCTTGCACTTCTGGTTTTGCTTATCTTCGTAGCTTAAAGTTTCTCTTTTGATAGGAGTCAATGTAATTTTGTTAACTAAACTGCCAAATAGATGTTCTATATGTCATAAAGTCACTCAGATGTGAGCTTCCAGTAAGCTTTCAGTTCATTTGGGCAAAGATCTGGTTTAAGCTAGAAGGTATTACCTTGTTACTCCTCAAACTCTCACGGTTTGAGCTGTAGTGTTTTTCTTAACTTGTAGTGCCTAGTTAGAAAAAACACCCATGGTAGGCACCTAAGTTATTAAACTTGTATTAAATTGCTGCAATTAGTATCTGAATTGTAACAGGATTTGGAAGCTGCTGTGTACTCTTTCGTATTTATTTCCCTTTCCTTATGAGGACAAGGAGTTAATGGATTACTGGATTAAAGTAAAGCCTGTGACTCCCTGCTGTTTCTTGAATTTGTTAGAGGGGCAAATCTCTAGCAGCATACTGGAGGAAGAAGTGAGTCCTGTGGACAGTAGTTTACTTACTGTGCAGAATATTAGAAAATGCACACTACAGAGTTCTTAAATGTGATCAATAGGTCACTGATCTCTTTGTCTGTAGTAATGGTTATTTATCACAACAGGATGTCCCAAGGCACAACCGTCTTCAGCTGTCTTTGTGCCATTCATGATCTTCAACATGAACATACAGGCACTTTTTTCCTGTGATCAAACATATCTTGTGAAAGAACAGCATGCACTCATGTTTTCATTTATAACAGGATGTTAATACATCGTTAAGCAAAAAGCTTCTTGTTTTGCAGCCTTGAACTGGTTGATTTCTGAACAAAACTGAAGCCATACTAATATCTTAGGAAACTAAGAGATGCTATTGTTTACAAACTCACTGTAAGTTTGTAAACAATAGCACTAGTATTCCCCTTCAGACATAGGTGGACCTGGAACTTGCACCTCTGTTTTAGTACTCTACATAGTTTAGCCAAAGGAAGGAATTCACGCAGACAAACTCGCATAATGTGAGGGCAGGCACAGAGCAAATGGACCACTCCAATGTATTGACCCTCTTCCCTGCTGTGCCAAATAACCAGTTGTCTGAGATATTAGGGAGAGGTGGAAGATGGATTTGATGTTTTACTTCATGAAGCTAATGATCTGCATAGCAAATGGCTAACCTATACTGTAGAGCTGTAACATGAGTATCTGTTCTGCTGGCTGGTAAAAGTAGTGGTTTAATTTACTGATATGAGATGTAAATACTATAAAAGCTCTTTCACAAAGGCAGGAATGGATGCACTGATTACTTTTACGTGAATATTTTCCTGTAAGTATTTGCACCATTTTTATTGTAGAGATGCTAGTGCTTGTTTTGATTTGAGCCCCCTCTTTCAACCAGTTTTTCTCTGTCCTCTGAAAGCAAGGTTTAAGAATGCAGTGTGGTCTTACCATCATGCTTGTAAGCTGTTTTAGCAATAGGAGAGGCTAGTGGGTAATTTGATTTGCTTTATGCCAGCTAAAATGTGTCTTCTACTGGCGTTATCGCTTGTAGTAAAATTGATACGGCTTACCCTTTGGATATTAAATAAACCATTTTACTTTTTGCTGTTTGGCTCCCTAACTGACCTGCAGCAGTACATGGTAGTAGCAGGTATGGGTACACCCAGGAATGTGTACACCAGGAAGAGAGCAGCGCTAAGGAACAGTCTGGAGTTGTTGTCTTTTAAGTAGTATAGCCTTGAATCAAACTGATTATGAAATGATATCAACATATTTTGCTGGAGGGAAGCTAGTAGCAGTTTGACTGTGATGTCTCTCCCACCTAACTCTCCAATCAGCTTAGATGCTCCTAACGTACAGGCTAATGAAAACATAACAAAACAGAAAAATTCTTATGTTTGGAAAACAATGGCTCACAGCTCTCAAGGAAAATGTCTAACAACATCTTTAAAACTGAGAATTTATCTTTTGTGTAAGAGGTGTTCCTAGCCACCACAGAGTTCAGAGGAGAAGCTGCTGCTCTTAGCCTTGGCAATATTTGTATTACTGCTCTCCTAAACGGAAAACTAGAGTTGTCCTGTCTTCAAGGCCTGTTTGATAATTGAATGTGAACAGAGGTACATGTTCTGTTAGACAAATGGTAGTGCTGCAAATAGTGACCAACACTACTACTTGCCTTCAAAAAGCATGATAGAACACTGGCAAGCTTTTTCTTGTGCTAAAAGAGCCTCCTACCCAACGTGCTTTATAGTTCTTCACACTAATAGCGATACATCTGTAACCATAGAATTGGCAGATGGTCACAGGGCAAGTAAGGCTAAGAGGTAACATAATGTAACAGTTCTGACCTGTGAATAAATTTGAAATAAATGAATTATTGGGTGGGCTCAATTACACTGGCTGCTGGCCATAAGCAGATTTGAGCCAGATGACTATTGGGAACATCTAAACTTGTGAAGCAGGTTGGGGTTTTTTGGCTTTTTGGGTTTGGTTTTTTTCCTTAAATGTTGACCTGTCTCTCAGAACTTGTCTGCAGAAATCTATTCTGCTCAGTATTTGTGTAGAGACTTGTATAGAACAAGTGCTTTTCTGTTCCTTTGGGAAATGAATGTGTAGACTTAGTCAGAAATATACTGGACTCTAAATGGTTTGTATGAAAGTTAAGAACTTGTAGCAGTTCTAGTGAATGAGCACAGATGTGCTTTGTGCCTCAAACTTAGCTTAGGCAATCTACAGTTAGTATAGCAACAAGTTAATCTTGACGGAGCAGGTCACTAAGTGAGCCACGAGCAGCCTGCTAATTCCAACCTTGAAGCACTCAGTTTTGCAGTCCTGCTGCCAAGTTAGTATTAAGGTATCTCTTCAAATGAGCAGGCTCAACTAATCCCTTTCCTGTAGCTTCTGTTTTATCGTTCTTCTGGCGATTCTAATGCGTAACCCCAAACTGAGATATGGAGGCATTATTCACGCAGTACTGAAGCTCTGACTGTATCCTGGATTACTAGGATATTTAAGAATAGTAATTGGCTCTCTGAAGAGCTGGATGACTTTTGATGTTCAGTAGTCTATCTTTGTTAAACAAGATGGTAATTATAGATAATAGTGCATTGCAGACTAAATTTACCTTGCTTAATGAAGGCGGCAGGCAGCACAGTGGAGTCTGAAGCCTGGCAAACTGCAAAATGTAAAGTAATCACTCATAAGTGCCTTGGACAGCGTTGTGGCTGGTATCTGTTTGCTCGGGTACTCATCTCTGAGAAGACTAACAGTAGTTATGTACTAGGGCTGTAAGGCTATAAACAGTATATGTCTCGTCTGCAAAATAGCCAGCCAATCACCTCTTTTAGTAACTTGCTATGGATGTTTAATCGTAGTGTTACTAAACTGGAAAAAACCTGAATAAGTGAAAGTGAGAAGGATGTGGCCTAAACTGATGTGCAACATAATCTTCTTGTGCTCTGGCTTAAATGTTGTCCTACTCATCAGTTTCTATGTGTGACATAACTTTTATTAAGCCTCTCCAAGTTGAATAGCTTTGCTTGAGTGCATTTTGTTGGAATATGGCTCTGATAATTTCTTGAAACTGGGAGCTGTGTAACAGCCTGAAAGTGAGGCAGAGCAATTGACTTTGCAAACTTGGAAATGTAAGCCTCTAGTTCTGCAGCATAGCACTCCTTCAACTGTCATCAGCAGTGGTTTTATCTTCCTTTCTAACTATCCATGAGGTTACTTACGTGTTTCTGGTGATTGTAAAAATCAAATATGCTTGTAGAAATTCTTCAGTGAGTGTTACCATGGCTGAGTACTGTGATGAAAACTTCTCAGTTAATCAAACACATTTTTAACAGCCATTGTCCTGTCCCATCCCCCTGCCCTTAGTGGGATAGAAGACCTAACTAAAAATTGGTCCTTGGTTTTTGATACTTTTATTTTTCTTTTTCCCTATACAAGGAATAAACTGAAGATACCTGCCACTGTGAGGTTTTGTCTTGCTTTGTCATCCTCTAGTCCTCTAATGTAAACACTAAATTAAGTTTGAATAGGGGTGCCATGCAATATAATTGCTGGGGTTCAGGAACTGAACTTTGGTTAAAACCAAAGCTTGGTTTTAACTCAAACTCATGAGTTATCCTAAGCATTGCCATGTGACTATCCTCAGTGATGTTTAACACCCAATGAGCTAGTACTGGTGTCTAAACCTGCAATTTCAGGCATGTATAGACTGTAATCAGTAACAAAGAAACAACTTAAGACTTAATCATTCAACTTGATTTCCGATGTATGGAGTTAAACTTTTATCACCAGCTGGTTGCTATGCTATTTATGTTTGGTCGAGGTTTAGGTGAGATTACATATGGCATTCAAAACAGAACAGCCTGAAGGAATTACTCAAAACAGGCTTTTGTTCATATGCTGTGCAAGTTCTTAACTTGGAGAGAATAAACCTTCAGGATGTGAATTTGCTGTTTAATATGGGCGTTCATGTCAACTCACTGCTACAGCTCTGTGCACAGAGGGTGGGATTTTGATTTTTGCCTTGCTGAGGCTGCAATCCATTTCTGCCAAAGGTGCTGACTTCACAAATTCCTTAAGTATTTTAGTCAGACTTCCCTTAATGCTCTGTTGCTTGCTTAGGACACAAAGAGCCCAGTTTCTAGCAGTAACTGATAATCTGCAAGCATTACGGGTAGATAATGCTGCTTGAAAGATCTGCTGAGAGGTTTTGGTGGTTATTTTTTTTTACTTAAAAAGGTCAGCCTTGATTTCATCTCGGGTTAAGAAAAACTGGTTGAGATGCACTTACTCTTGTTCCACCTTTTTCCCCGTTTTTTAACATCAGTGATTATTGCCACGCTTGTTGAGGTTAGAGAAACAATTGCTAATAATTCAAAGTAAACATTGCAATGTGCTTTTGTTACGAACAGAACCTAAAGATATAGAGCAAGGACTTAGCTTCCAAACTTGGGTAACTAAATATCTACTCAGGTTAGCAATATCCCAGACTGAGGTCAATGTTCTCTCCCCCATTAATCTAAATGACGCACAAAATCTTCAGGCTCAGTTGTAACGAGATGTGCTCTTCACTTGCTAAAAGGGAAAAATAAATAGTTTTAGAAATCAAAATTTTCATCAGGAACAGATGAATTGCTGAAAATGAGGGATGTGTTTTCAAGTCTTTAAAAAGAGTGATAATGTGATATCTTAGCAAAATTGGAGTGTTACTGTTTTTATATAACACTTTGACTTTTTTAGTATATGTTACTGTGGCCCTCTTTGTAGAGTATGGACCCAGGAGCAAAAGACTTTCTTCAGTTTAGTAGTGAATTCCTAATACTGGGAAGTATCTTAAACATGAACACTTGAGTGTCTCTGCCGTGTGCACAGTACAAATAATCTAATCCAATTAAGAGAAATCTAAAATCTATAGTAGAAGACACTTCAAGCCTCAGATTGTATGATCTGCTGCTTATTTATACAGTAAATAGTGTTACTGTTTTAAAACCAACTTACTTTAGGTTGGTAAATTAGAAGAAAACACATAACATGTTGCATGATATACTAGTGCAAATTGGTTAAACTTTGTGGTCCCAACAGATGTGTCTTATGAAACTGAGGGAAGTATACTGTAATCTCTAGCCTTGTCATTCTAGAAGTTAACTGGAGTTTCTAGGTCGGATTAAAACTGTGGATATATCTCCTGCTTTATCTGAAAACCAAGATGTGTACAGATAGCAATTACAATTTATGTTTCAGAACAGGTATTGTTAGGCATTTTCAGAGCTCAAAAATTAACTTCTTAAAAGCAGTAAGGGGAGGAGTAGGTACAACTAAGTAGTTTTTCAGGGTTGGGTATGGGGGAAATTGGGGTGTTTTGCCATGTGGAGTGCCTGCCAAAGCACCCTGCACTTCAGTGTTTTGAGTAGTGTCACTTATAAAACAGTGTTGTAGAATGGAAAAAAATCCATTTTAAGCAAATCTGTAGGCTTTTTGTTAAAATGACAAGGCAAAAGGACGTAGTTGCTTCTATTTGGGGCCTAACTTCTTTCCATTTGTACAGTGTGCTAGTTCTGCTATGTGTCTGTACTCTGGTGGCCATTATTATAAGCATATTAATATAAAGCAGTTTTCTGCATCTTATGCACTTCCAAAACCAACTCTTGCATATCTTCAGTTTCTTTTTTTGAGTCTAAATCAATAAATGACAAAATCTGGATTAATTTGTATTTGCCATAGGATGCCATTATACTATAAATACTTTGCTATTAATTAACCTATCCTTGAGTTGCTTAATCACCTTTCATCTGGCCTGCTGTCAGATCATCTTTGGAATGGTAAAGGGGTGATTAACAGTCATTGGCTGACACGGGAGGTTTGAACGTGCAAATGTAGTACATGTTTAAATGCTGTGAGTTGTTGCTTTGCTTATGTGGAAGAAAGGGGTGAGATTGGAGGTGCTTCAGAGTGCTGATCCTGATCTGCTCTTGAAGCCTTGCACTGACATGGCTGTAGTCATGAGTGGTATGGAGGAAAATGGGGTGTGAAAGCAGGGCATCTGATCCTCACTACTCATAAGATTGGACCATTTTCAAACTGGGCCAGGAAACTCTTATTCATAACCTTGTAGCCAAATACATGTGATGAAGAGTAAAGAAAGCTGGCTGCTGCTGCTGCTAGTTGATGTTTTGGAAACTGCTTGAAAGTTTGAGTAGGTGCAGGTCTGAATTTCCAACACAGAGAGATGACCAGTTCTGCATTGCTGAAGTGGACTTCATTTGCTTCCCTCAAACTTCAAGCAACTGAATATAATGCCTGGGTTGAATATTTTACCTTACTATGTTCGCTCATGTAGGAGATAACAGACCCAGACCTCTGTAGAATCTCAGTCATCAAAACCTAAAATGCTAAAGAGTAATAAGCTGCTTTGTTTTGGACAGTGCAAGTAGTACTTGAATATGCTTGCATTATCAGAATTAAAAAATTTAAACTGCAGCTTATTTCTCTGAATATTTAACTTGAATTGGCACTAGATATCCTAAAACCTATTTTTGGAATGAAAAGTTGATCTGAAATGTAAACTGTGCTGAAAAGGCTAAGATGGTAAAGTGATCTAATAAAATGTGAATTTTAAACACTTCTGTTTTTTTCAAGTGAATTTCATGGGACTTATTGAAAGTCTGAACTTATGTGTGTATCCTATCTCTGTGAGGTCTTTTGAGTCTTTAGGCTAGCCGTAAGTTTACTGTTTTTCCTCTTCAGTGTCTGTTAAGAATATTCTTTCAGCTGTTGAACTGAATGACCATTCAATAGAGAAACAGTGAATTGACTTGTCCTTAAAGTGAGGAATAACGCAAGCTGTTTGTTTATAAGATTGTTCTTAGGAGACTTTCCTTCAGAGTACTGTCAACCTAGTAATCAAACTGGAAATAAAATTCAGTTTTCTCTTCGCAGTTTAAGGAATAGCAAAACTAAAACGTTTGTGAAAGTCAGTAATAAAGGCGTCTCAGATTATTTGTGTGCCACTGGTAGCATCTGAAGTCTGCAAAGCTTCTTGAAACAGGGAGGTCCTTTTAGCTTCTCAAATTCCCTTATAAAGTGATGCTTAAGTTACCTCTGTGATGTTTGCCTTCACCCAGTCCTAATACTGGAAAGGGAGAGTAATAATTCCTCCTGATGTTTGTATGTTCACACAGCATGGTTGGGTGGAAAAAAGCCAAGGGTGGCAGAGGCTGTCCAAAGCACTGTATCCTGATGTCTGTTCTTTTGATTTCAGGCAAAAGTAAAGAAGCAGAGATAAAGAGGATAAATAAAGAACTAGCGAACATTCGGTCAAAATTTAAGGGTAAGTGACTTGATCGTACTAAACTATACATATTTCCTTATGTGACATTCTTCTATGGATTTTTGTTTTGTTTATACATGCTTGGACTTTTTTGCCAACTGTTGACACAAGCTAAATGCTAGAGCAGGCCATTAGAATAACTGTTGAAAATGTTCTCTTTACTACAGAACTTATTGACGGTCCTGTGACTCTTGACCATACCAGAAGAAAACTCCTGTATAAAAGAATTTAGCTATGGTTCACAAACTCTTTCTAATACTTTGCCTCCTAACCATGTGACTACTCAGCTTTTTTTTATTCCAGAAGGCCATGAACTAGTTTGAAGAAACATGAGTGGATGTAATTATTTCCAGTAAAACAGAATCTGTTTAAACTTCTCCTCTTTTCCTGCCTCTGCCCTTCCCCCAACCTCTTTAGGGAAGTAATGTGTTAGGTTGTCTTCTAGCAGAATTAAGATAAAAATGTGTAGTTGATGAAGCCATACATCTTGACCACGCCCATAAGCAACAGCAATACAGTTTATTCATATGAAACAAAGAATATGTAGTGACTAATTCCATCCTTGTGAGTTCCAAAAGGCAGCAATTCACTTTTAAACAACACATGGTAAAACTCTTGCTGTAACTGTATTCAAGTTGTGTATGTGGCTTCAAATTTCAAAGATTCTGAGATAGTTGAGATGCATTTGGATGGAGCTCTAACAGCAGTGGCCATGGCAAACGTTCTGTTTAAATAGATACGGAGCTGTGTGTATAGCTAGATAAGGGTTGCAGTGTGACTGCCACACTGCAACAGAGGTGTGGCTTCAGAATTTGCTATATACGTATTGAACTAGTTTACCTTAATTATCTATTCTGACTTAGACTAGTGTATCTATTTGGAATACTCAATGTATTAACAAAGCCTGAACTAACTTTCCTGAACTTCATAGGGATCTGTTGTGAATTTTTAAGTGGTATGTCTCTTAAAGGCATATGAAGACCTGAAAAAACTTGTGTCAACAACAGCTTGTAAGGGAAAAGTTGACTGCAGTGCAAGACACTGAAGAAAAGTTAAAAAATTCTTGTAAATTAGAAGCTATCACATACTTTGTGCTAATGTTTGGCTCTTAGAAATTTCAGCATACTTTATCCTGATTGGTGACTTCAGTTGTAGGGTAACTGAGGAAGTCTTGAAGGCTGTTTTTCTAGGGTAAATAGAAAAAGGAGCTTTCATTTAGTCATCTCCCTATGCTGTCACATTCTTTTTCAGTTCCTTTTCATTGCAAAGCTTCAATCTAACACTGCTGCAGATTTGACTTCTGCGAGAAGTAGCAGGCTTTGCATAGTTTGTTCTACAGACTATTCTCCATTGCCCAATCCAAGTCTAAAACTTCTGTCCATTTTCCAGTCACAGTGACCACTTCTGTCCATTTTCCAGGCAGTGACCAGCAGATACTGCCTTCCTGGACTAAGCATGCACACGCACTGAGCAACTGGCATAGACTTCAAGGGTCTATTAGAAACCTGCATACAAGAGTTACAGCCGTTTTTCTTAGTTCCAGCTGTATAACCAAAGTAGATTATCTTATTGCCTAGTAAATTTAAGCATAAAATTGTAACTTGTAAATAAAGCAGTTTAATCTCCAAGCAAGATCTATACTAGACAAATTAAGTATATCTTTCAAATCAAGAGACTGAGTTTAATTAAAAACTGTTTAAGAAGTTTCTGTACACTTAAGAAGTTAGTAGATATTTGATGTTATTTTCTTTCAACTAATTTCACTAAGTTGATTAATCTGGAAGATACAGCCATAAAGACCGCTTGTTTTCTCTCAGTCTGTGTTTGTAAAACTGTTTGCTGTCAGATAAGCAGCATTATTGATTATCAGCTGTTGCTGAAATTAATTTCAGCACCTAAATTCCTTAATTATTTAGACAGGACAGGTTTTTCTACACTTTCCCTGTAGATATATTAACAGTTACTCCACCTATGCCCTTCTGTCATCAAGAACAACTAGAGGTTAATGCCTAGCTAGAAATCTTGCTTACAGTCACATTAACACAGAAATCCAGTTCTTCAGCAACTTAACTTCAGGCTACGCCACCTTTCTTAATCTTGATTTGGTTGATGGGCAAGCATTAGTTTGTTTGCAAAACCTAATCAATTTTTCACTAATAAAACTGGAAGCTTTCATCAGTCTAAGTCTTCGGTTTGCAGTGAAGGTCTGAAAACTTCAAAAGGCATAAAAAAATGGAAGCTATTGAAGTTCCTGTAGAACTTCTCTGCCTCCTGTATGTTCCAGTGTGCTTGAAGCATGAAGAAGGTTTTGTCAGACCTGCTCCCTTCCCTTAATCATGCTGTTGTAAAAGATAAAGAATTGGAGAAAAGTTCATAATTGTTAAGGCTGTTTAAGTACTGACTTACAGGGATATAGTCCAGTTCTTACTGTCTGACTGTGGCCAAATCCTATTTAGTAATCCTCCTTAGATAGGAGCAGTTAGTATCTCACTTGCTGCTTACTAGCCCAACTCTTTTTGTATCTGACATGAAAAGCTTTAATCTACAAACTGAAATGGGAAAGCTAGATTTAAACTTCTATTCCATATGAAAGCTAAGCGTTCTAGAAAAAAAATAATGGCTTACAGGTTTTGAGTAACACAAAACTCCATTTGGGTCCATCCGTGCCCACTAGCCTGCATACTTCTGTAAACTTGTGAGTGTGAAAGAATTGAATCTGAACTGTTTGGGTACCACAGCAATCAATACAGCCTTTAATGCTAATAATAATTAATGCCTTCTGAGTGCACTTACTGGTAAATTGCAATAAATCCTATGTGGGGATCACAGAATGAGCACTGACACTCAATTCTGTATTTGGTCAACATCAGTCATCCTGAGTCTTACCCTATGAAGAGTCTATGAATGTGTATTCAGAAGGTTGCTAATGTCACCTTCAGTGAAAGGCTGCCTAACACATGATAGAGCTAGTCTTTACTGTTCTTTTCTGTGAATGTCTTTATAAAAGCAGCAATATAAGCCACTGTATTGCTAACTTTAAGAAAACTTGGCAGTAATGAAGCTCTAAGTGAACTGAATTCTATCATAATAGTGTTCTTTGGTTAACATAGGTAGTTGGTAGCTGTGTTGTATCACCAAGTAATCATAGGTTAAAGAGATGCTGATGGCACAGTTCATAATAAGCTGTTCAGTTTAAAAATAGTTAAGAGTACATGCACAATAAAGTCTTCTCTGGTTAACTGTGATGCAGGAGAGAAATGACCATAGGAACCTTTGGTTGTGTAGAAACACGAATCAAGCAATGATCTGAGAATAGAAGTGCTTTCAGCAAAGTAGTGCAATAACTTTAGCCTGTGTACCCTGCATAGCATCCTTTAAGCACAGTTTAAATAATTTTGAATAAATATCAGTGTGTGCTCATTCAGTAGCTTGTGTGAAAGACGACTAAACCTTCCTATAAGCTGATCTTTGTTATGGTTACTTTAGTACTGAATTTGTATGGATTTTAGGTCAAAAAACTTACTTAACTGGAGACAATAACTGAACAAAAACTATACATAAATGTCACCATTTGGAAGAAGATGAGTTTAGACAACTTATTGCGTAACTGCTTGAGGCTTTGAGAGTGTGAGGAGGTGATAGTTGTGTATCTTCCTGCTGCAGAAGTTCTACGTGGGCTTTGCTGCATGGTTCTTTCTTGCAGAAGGGCTGTATAATAATAAACAGACCCTCATAAAATGCATTTAATTCTTGCTTTAAGTGGAGATCATTCAGTTTAACCCACTTTCTTTTTATGAAGCTCTGACTTTTAGAAAGTCTTTAATTAGTTTGGATTAAGACAAATGCATGACTTAAGTTAAGATGGAGTCCCTTGCTAAATAATTATGATGAATGCTGGGGCCCTTGTTTAATTATGTGTCCAAAGATGCAGCTGTTTGGTTGCATTGCTGTAACCAGGGAAAGGTCTGTCTGTAAGAAGCAAGGTTGGCAGTAGTACCTCTTGACACAGCTATGTTCTTGGTTGAGACTAGCATAAGAGACTGGTATACCACAAGTATTCTTTCCTTCTTCTAGACCTTGCTACTTTGCAGCATACTCTGTTGCAGTATATAGTCCCTCACTCCATGTAACTTGCAAGATGCATTCTTGTACTGTTACAGACAGAGGCTACATATTTCTACTTTTGTTCTGTTATGTAGGTAGCTGGCAAGTCTGTTATCTGCCTTGTATTTGGGTAACCTGCTATTTAAAATACCCTTGTACATAACAGGCTGGGGTAAGGCTGTGCATCTCTGGAAAAGCCATACTTTTCTTGAACTGACAGAATGTACACCAAGGTGTTGGGTTCTGATCTGGCTTTTGTGCTCCAAGCTCAGAAGAAATCTAGAATCTCTGTACTTAAGGTGACTTTGTCTCTTGTCTCAGCATGAGGAAGCTCCATAGCTGAGGTCAGTGTGTCCTTGATGTCAGTATGTCGTTGACGGTTGCTTTAAATGCTTCTGCATTAACTGAAGTAAGATGCATGTAGAGAGAATCTACATCAGTATAATAAAGCAGAAGTTGTAGGAGTTAAGTGTGGAGAAATACTATTCCTTTTGTTTTACATGTTCAGACTGTAAAATGATTTTGCTCCCATGCTTGAGCCAAGCTAGAAGGCTGACTGTCAGAGTAGTAATTGTTTTGTAAATGAGTGGAAAAAAAACCTGGTTTATTAATTTGTTGTGTCATTTGGATCTCAGAGCAGAATGTGTGTACCAGTGAAAGTGCCCACAAATCTGTAGACTGCTTCTGCAGTCGAAGGAACATTGTTCACCGCTTGATTCAGGCCTGTTCTTTTTTTCCAGATCTGGCATTAAATTTTTGTTTTGTTCTGATTGTTTAATAGGGTTTGTGTTACAAGAGTGGCTGCTAGATTTCAGACATGCTAGTCATTCTTAGTTTTGTCTTGTGCAGAAGTGTCCCAATGTCAGTTGATAATCCCTGCGTTTTTTTGTTTGTGG